TACGTCATTTTTTTAAAGGAGAACAAATTGACATTATTTCTTGAAGTTTTTGCAGAATTTTCTTCGAATTGAGAAGAAAAATCATGACAGAATTACCGTTGAGTAGTTTTCCATTTAAAAAATAAAGTATGACAGGAAGTCTGCGACGTCGCAAACCGAGTTATGTGATTGCCGACTTACACCGTCGATATGTGATTGTGGACTTATGCCGCGCCGTCGAAATGTACCGTCGCATCATATTCATACAGTTATTGAAGCATTGAAACCTGTGTTTGCAACGCATGGTTTTCCACGTAAAATTGTTTGTGATGATGTATCCTTTAGCTCAAAAGAATTTTATAACTATATGGCACTACACAATTGTAAAATTGTCACTACTAATCCTAATTATCCATAAGTATACGGAATGATTGAAAAATATGTACAGGTTGCTAAGAAACTAATTTTTAAAAGCAAAGAAGGTAGACTTGATCCGGAAGATTTTTTATTTGAATATTAAAAAATGTCTGTCACGGGTATGAATGTCAGTGGTTCTAAAATTTTAATGAGTAGGCAGTCCACGACAGTGAATTACCCTTCCCACCAAAATCATTGAAATAAAAAATGTGTAACGTTAGAAATAAACTTGTCGAGAGGCAATCAGAAATGACATATAGGTACAATATGCATGCTCCTCGCGCCTCACAAAATTTTAAAGTAGGTGACAACGTATCAGTTCAAAGTGGGAACATTTGGGAAAAAGGTGTGATTTTAGGAGAGGCAGAGGCGCCCAGGTCTTACATAGGAGAGTGTGAAAAAGGGAAGTAATTACCGTAGAAACTCGTATCGTCTGAAACACTCCTAGACCACCCCTTTAAACACAAAGCAGAGGTCCTCTCTAATTTATATTTACTAGACATTGATGTTGAGGTCCTGATGAGAACTGAATATAGCTACCTCCTAATGAAGAGAACATGGCACAAAATGAGGTAGAGAATCAGCAGTTACAAGAAAATCCTCCTGTCTTGGACAAAATCACACAGCTTGTTCGTCACGCAAAAAAATCGAATTTGCCCAAGCGCTTCACTGATTTCGTTATGTATTTTTATGTTTTAATTTGTGCTGAAAACTGTTATTTTCGACTTTTTTCTTTTAATGATACCTAGTTCTTTATTATGACTCAATCACATTTTATTTCTCCTCTCTCTTGCAGTAGAGAATAATAATTTATATAATGTTTTGAGCTTCACAGTATCTCATACCTATTTAGAATTTGTTTTCCATGACTTATATGACTTGATTTAATATAGTTAACATGAAGTACGAATTCCCTCTCAAGTAGTATACTTTATTTCATACGTAATGATTTAAGTTTGTTTTCCTTCAAATATCATTACGTCAATCACATAATAGTTAACTCATAAGACTTTTTTTATTCTCTTCGGAGAATGTAGCTCTCACAAGAAAAGTAGCACTTTTCATGTATCCCAAAAGGGGGAGATGTTGTATATGGCAACACCGTTTCGATAACGTCACGTTTGTTCACTTTTCCCTGTCTCTCTCTGAATACAAATTGTTCCTCAAGGCACACACACACGTGTTGATGTTATTTTCCTCTTTTTACACTTTGTAATGATTAGTGAAGCATGTTCCGTGCAAGATTTAGTCAAAGAATTATCAGTCGTGTATTAATTAGGACAATTAGTCCATTTTTTTCTTCTTTCTTTCTTTCTTTCAAAACCGAAAACTTTTTTTTTCCCTACCCCTTACCCTCTCTTAAAAATTTACTTCTGAATACTTACTCATCCTGTAAAACTTTTTGAATTTATGCGCTCCACTAATCTCAAAAAACCTTTCCCCTCAACCCTTTTGTATTTTTACTGATGTAACCTTAATTTCCATGTAAATTTATTAGTATTACTGCCTTGTTTAGAGGTGTAAATGGCCTTAGATGCTAAAGCACCGCTTTAAAATAAAATTATTTTACTACTACTACTTCTTTCTTTCTTTCTTTCTTTCTTTAAATAGTAAAAAATATGCCAAAAGAAAACTAAATGAAACTCTACGTAACCTCGAAGAATGGTCAGAAGTTACGGGTTTCAAATTTTCAGCAATTAAAACAAAGGGCATTATTTTTACCAGAAGGTATAGAATTCCTAGTTTTAAATTATTCCTTAATGATGCACAAATCCAGTTTTACCCCTCTGTTAATTTTCTCGGCGTGATTTTTGACCGAAAGTTAAATTGGTCCGAGCACATAGTTTCCCTTAAAAATAAATGTATGTCTAGATTAAGAATCCTACAATTTTTATCACACACCTCGTGGGGCGCTGATAAATTCACTATGCTCAATCTTTATCGATCTCTGATTAGATCAAAATTAGATTATGCCTGTTTTATATATGGGACTGCCAGCCCTTCTACCCTCAAAACTTTAGATGCCATTCATAATACAGGTATTCGAATTTCAACAGGTGCTTTTAAGTCAAGTCCATCATCTAGTCTATGTATAGAAGCTCGTGAGCCTCCCCTCTATTATAGAAGACAATTACTGCTCGCAAAACACCTCGCTAAGATGAAATCGTTTAATACATTTCCTGAAACCTTCAAAGAATTACTTGCATTCAAAAACCAATTGTATCTTTCTGTTTTCAGGTTTACTAATTTTAATGATGTGTTAAAATTTAAAAAACCTATTTTCCCTTTTTGGCAGACATTACCTACGGAAAATGTTTTAAATGTTCCGATTATTGCAAAAGCTAATTTATCTCAAGCTGAAATGAGACAGAACTTTTTCTCAGTCATTGATTCTCATGCTGAGCATAAGCCATTCTATACAGATGGATCTAAGACTGTTAATTCTACTGCATGTGCTTTCAGTTGCGATCTGAACGAAGTATACTCTTTTAAATTATCACCAGTCACATCTATTTTTACAGCTGAGGCTCTAGCTATCTCCAAAGCCTTAAATTATGTCCATAATACAGATTGTAAACAATCAATTATTTGTTCAGATTCATATAGTGTATTAAGTGCTTTAGGTAACCCCAATAATCCTCACCCAATCCTTACCCAGATCCAGAATTTAGTCTTCACCCTTATATCTAAAAATTTCTCTATCCTGTTTTGTTGGTGCCCAGGACACGTTAATATTCCGGGTAATGTTCGAGTAGATTCTGCAGCTAGGGAGTCTAGCCTTTCAATTGGCCCCTTCTCGAAGGGATCGGTTACCTCTAAAGATCTGTTTCTAGATATAAAAGGAAAAATTCTCCACCATTGGGTTACTGAGTGGCAGCATTACACCAATGCTAAATGCCCCCCTGCATTGCCTACTTCACCTTCATCCGAAAACTTTCATTTGACTCGACTTCAACAAGTAGTCCAAACTAGACTGAGAATTGGTCACACAAATTTTTCCCATAGCTATTTGATGACCCAATCAAACCGTCCTGCTTGCACTTCTTGTCCAAATTCCCCCTTAACGGTAGATCACGTTCTTATAAGTTGCCCACTTCATAAAGATATCCGAAAACGTTTTTTTCTCTACCCCTTACCCTCTCTTAAAAATTTACTTCTGAATACTCATCCTGTGAAACTTTTTGAATTTATGCGCTCCACTAATCTCAAAATTTAACCTCTCCCCTCAACCCTTTTGTATTTTTACTGATATTTCCATGTAAATTTATTACTGTTACTGCCCTCTTTAGAGATGTAAATGGCCTTAGATGCTAAAGCACCGCTTTAAAATAAAGTTATTTTACTACTACTACTACTTTCTTTCTTTCTTTTCTTTCTTTCTTTAAAATAAAATTATTCTACTACTACTTCTACTACTACTACTACTACTACTGCTACTGCTACTACTACTACTACTGCTACTGCTACTGCTACTGCTACTGCTACTGCTACTGCTACTGCTACTGTTACTGCTACTGCTACTGCTACTGCTACTGCTTCTGCTTCTGCCTCTGCTTCTGCTTCTGCTTCTACTTCTACTTCTACTTCTACTACCGAAGAAAAAAAACACCAAGAAGTGGCCCGAAACCTGTATGTAACAAGGTGGAGAAATGGTGCTGGGTCCACATCATTTCGTGGGGAAAACAAAGCCAAGAAGTTCTAAAAATTAAAATTCGAGTCAAAAATAATTTTTTGAACTCTAATGCGCACCAGTAGGTACAAAACTGAGGAGGGAGAGTGTTACGCTCAGGCAGTTTGCAATGGAATATTAAGTTGGAGTCACGTCGAGAGATCTATACCGGTTTGGGCCTTTTTAGACCTCATCAGTAGATCACACTCGGCAGTGAACTACTACTACTACTACTATTACTACTACTTTCTTTCTTTCTTTCTTTCATTCTTTCATTCTTTCTTAAAATTATTTTACTACTACTACTACTACTACTACTACTACTACTACTACTACTACTACTACTACTACTCTCTCTTTCTTCCTTTCTTTCTTTCTTTCTTTCCTCTGTGTTTCTTTCTTTCATTCTTCTTTCTTTAAAGCATCGCTTTAAAATAAATTTATCTTACTACTGCCCTCTTTAGAGGTGTAAATGGCCTTCGATGCTAAAGCACCGCTTTAAAATAAAATTATTTTACTACTACTACTACTTTCTTTCTTTTTTGCTTTAGGAGCATAAGATGACGAAAATTTTTTTTTTGTTCTTTTTTAACTGACCCCTTTTTATTGGCTAATATTATAATACAACATGCATCACAATCTATGAATAATGAAATTAATAAAGTAGAAAAAGGAAATCTATATAAATAGAGACGGACATGATAATTATTCCCCGTCAGTGGTGTCCAAGCCGGAATCCACCGTAGGGCATGCATCGGCGAAATGACGAAAGTAAAATAAAAATATCAGATTGTATAATTCTAAGACACATTTATATTTAGTGCCACAAAAATCACTTGTGAAGTATTTTCGTCTTTCATCAAGATCGCAGATCCTTTGAATGCCCTATAGCAATCCTAAACCTACATGATGAATAAATTCATTGTAATTCCAGAGTGCCAGAGAAAATGACATACCTGTGCAAAGACATCGGACAAAATTCTACCATTTTCATCGCTGTGTTATTACGATCATGACCCACCAGTTGCAAATGCTTTGCCTGACTTCTCTATCCGAAGTAACTGATTTCCTCACAAACATGCAGGTAAAATATAATCACACCAACTTCACCTAGCCTGGCTGACAAAGTTTTTCTATAAGAAAGACTGAGAATGGTCTCTGAGACCCCCATATAGGATACCCACATTGCAATTTTGCTTTTCATGATTTTTTTTTTTAAGTTTCCCCGTCCCAGCAACAGGTATATTGCCTCATATGACTCCCTACCTCTAAACTCGAATCACAAACCCAAGTAGCAGAGGTTGCAACAACTTGCAACGAAATCGTTTGATTCTTGCAACGAAATCGTTTGATTCTTGCAACTAATAGATTCATGTGCAGATTGCCTACTCTCTCCCCCGAAGGAGCTATCATTGTTGGAACTAGTTGCAATTAAGTTGAAACATGTTTCAACTTCAAAGTATTGATGCCCCTTCTGTTCTATTTCCGCCTCTTTGAACGGAAATTTCGTCCGTTTTGGCGTATCTTGAAGCGTAAGGTCACAAACGGCCCAATGACGACGTGAGGCTATGGGCCGGCGCGGCGCGGCGGGGCGCGCCGCGCCCGGCCGGCCGCTGAGCGCGCGCGCAGGGCAGGGTTGCGCATCGCCGCATTACACCGCACCGGTGTAGAGGAACGAACGGTGGGGTGGGAGGGGGATATCCGGTGGAAAAGTATCCACATTTTCTATCCATAATGAAACTGCATTAGGTACACTTTTTCAATATAGATGAGGAAATATGAGCCATACAAGGAAGTGATGAAAAGAGTGACAAGAACATATAATATGTATAGTTTGTACGATTAGGAGCGTAAGTGGAGTATAAAATTTGCCGTAACTACAGAACAGCACTGAAAATCTCCGGGAAATAAAAGCTGCTATTGTCAACATACCTGTTGATCATCAAAACAGAAAATTCTCACCCACCGGAGGTACCGGAAACCACTGGTATTTGACTAATTAAAAAGATATGTGCGATGTTGTCGAATAGTAAGCCCTTTACGCGATCAAATGCGATTAGTGCAAAAATTTGGAAAGTCGAAGAAAAATTTGATGAAAGAAAATTGCCCTAAATTCGGAAAGTGCTCCTAGTGTTTTTCTATCATGTGAAGTGTTTGCACATGAATGTCAATGGCAGTGCGTGGACCTCTCATCTGGTAATTCCAATATGGAATTTTCAGGGCTGTTCTGTAGTTACGGCAAATTTTACCCTCACTTACGCTCCTAATCGTACAAACTATACATATTATATGTTTTTGTCACTCTTTTCATCACTTCCTTGTATGGCTCATATTTCCTCATCTGTATTGAAAAAATGTAATGCAGTTTCATTATGGATAGAAAATTTGGATGCTTTTCCACCGGATATCCCCCTCCCACCCCATCGTTTGTTCCTCTACACCGGTGTAATGCGGCGATGCGCAATCCTGCCCTGCGCACGCGCCCCGCCGCGCCGCGCCGGCCCATAGCCTCACGTCGTCATTGGGCCGTTTGTGACCTTACGCTTCAAGATACGCCAAAACGGACGAAATTTCCTCACAAGGGACCGTAACTCGCAATTTTCCTTCAGAATTGATATATCGCTTGCCAAAATTTTTGAATTTTGGATTTATGCCCTTTGAGGCACGGGTTAAAATGTTTTTAAAATTTTTTCCTTTTAGGAGGTTCATTTAGAGACTACATAGAAACTTTTTAGGGGTTGACCAACTTGATTTTCGCAAAACTCAAAAATAAGGTACACCCTACCCTTGTCCCACGATCAAATGAACTCATCAAATAGTCATCAAATGTAAGATGGCGACTGGTTTTCGCCCAAGTCCGCTATCAAATGTTAGCGGGCCGTCAAATGTTGATGAGCCCGCCATCTTGCATTTGATGACTATTTGATGAGTTCATTTGATCGTAGGACGAGGGCTATAGATCTACCGTATGAACAAGATTCATCAAATCACTGTCAGTTTCGGCGATAGCTGAGTCGATTGGGGTGTCAAGTGATTCTCCGCTTCGGCCCGAGATTTGGGATCGATTCTCGATGCCCAAAATAATCAATTATGACCTGCTAATCGTTTGCCGTTGTTTTACTGCCATGGTTCATTAATCGATCGTAGATAAATGCATAATTTTGATTTCCGATTTTTTTCTGTATTGAACAAAACTAAAAATAATTTTCTCTGAAGAGAAATATATACAAAAACATTGAACCACGTAGACAGAGTTGCTAAAAGAAATTTCATCGAATAAAATTTCGTGAAATTTCACAAGAAGTTTCATGAAATTTCTTTTTTCCCCATGAAATTTCTTTCGACCGACAAAATGTCAATGCTTGTTTTTTCCAACAGAATTTTTTATTATTTATAAAGAGAATAATATTCGTCAATTGGATCAAGTGGAGCGCTGTTTCTTCTTAGTTCTTCTCTTCTCGTCTTCTTTTACACTTACAAAATGCTTACTCTTTCATTTTGAAACATTTTCTCTCAAATTCAAGAAAAAGTAAAATACTTAACTACTTACTTATACTGATCTCAAAATCTATCACTAAAGCTAAAAAATACAGGTACTCTACTTATTTATCAAATATTTCCTATATCAAAAAAGAAATACGTCAGCGAGGGAAACTGTTAATTTCTGAAAAATCATTTAAATTGTTTCAAGGATAGTTTAAGATCCCTCCCTCCCTTTTGTACCAAAAAAGAAGGATATACTATTATGGGGTACCAGGATTCTTTATAGTCAAGTAAGTTTTGTTCCAAATATGAAAGCTAACGCCTTACTTTGTCCGTAAAATTTATTTTGGTGTTCAACCGGTACGGCTGTGTGTTCAACTAAAGTTTGAGAAAAAAAATTCAAAATTATGTTTTTGCTGTTTTACTCAACTGCCTGGGCATTTCTAAAGTTCCCTTTGACAGTTTGCCACGTGCGTATAAAGGGACTTAAGGAGATTCATAAGTTTCTAGGATTTAATCCTGAATCCTGAGTGTTAAATGAAAGGACCCCGCACACCTCTTATGGGAAGCTGCACCACGTCCGATTGCCTTCTGACTTATGTTTTTCGATTCTCCTCAAAATGCTGATCAAAAGTTATAATTGCGCCAACTTTCTACGATGCACCGTTTTCGCAAAAAACCTAAGAGAAGATTCAATTATTCGGCTATAAAAAGCCAGAAAGACTCCTCATTTCAGTACTCGAGTGAACAAATCAGGGGAACTCCCGCACTGAGCGGCAGTCTTATCTCGGATTCCGCTCGCCGTTTTGCTCGACCATCCAAATCAGATTCTTGAGGAGCATAAGAAGTAAGAACAGGAAAGTCTGAACGTCTACCGGGCGAGTGCAGGAGAGAGATAGCCTCTGAGTCGGCAGGCACAGATAAGAAGACGGACACGCGCTACATTTTTTCCTTATTTACATCGGGCCTGTCCTCAAATGCTTTGTTCTTTTTTATTCATAGTCGCCGAATAATTGAATCTTCTCTTCGGTTTTTTGCGAAAACGGTGCATCGTAGAAAGTTGGCGCAATTATAACTTTTGATCAGCATTTTGAGGAGAAAAAACATAAGTCAGGGGGCAATCGGACGTGGTGCAGCTTCCCATAAGAGGTGTGCGGGGTCCTTTCCTAAAATTTCCTCATGAAATTTCTTTTTATAATCTTTCACGAAATTAACTCTGCATGTAGACCGTGCATCCTGTGTTACGGAAGGCGAGACAACTTTTGAAAATTCGCATGCCGATGAGTGGTGGCACCGACCCGCATCGATGAGTTCGTATGTCCCAGTTGTGCACATCTGCGCTTGCGCAGTAGCGGCTCCAGTGAATTGTTGCCGGATTATGAGGCTTTTTTCCTTGGTTAATAATTAGTTCAGAAAAATGAAACAATGCTATTCGGGTGTAAAATCATGTGTTCCAAAACTTTTCTTTCTAGGAATTTAGTTTGAAAATGGATTCTAAACGAGATATTCATGAAAAACCGAGCGCGGGCATGAATTCTCCATTGCCTCTGTGCTGTCTCTACGAGTGATTGGGACACAAGCTCTCTCCCCTTCCCCGCCCGCCCATCATGGGGCCCCGAGAGACTTGCTTCACTCCGCCTGTACCAAACCGAGCCGGACACACGGTCTACGTGATTCAAAGTCTTTGAATATATACGTCATATTGTCATTTTTTAGGGAATAAGAACTAACATTGATAAGAGGATAATGATGACGAAGAGAACTTCCAGGGGGTGGGACCGCGTAACTCTGTAGTTTTCTTCCTACTTTTGCGTTCTGGATCGAAGTGCGTCGCTGCATGTGTCGAGTTGCCACATAGAGAAAAAAAAGGAGGTGTTTGCATCTTGAGGTTTGTTTTCCCTGTGACGTAGGTCGGTACAACCTGGCCAGCGAAATCCGGCATTCGAAATATGAAAAACGGACCATAATGTCCGATTTTTTACTTAAATCAACTCATGATATAATTTCAAGCTTTTTTTATAGAATGACTTTTTTCCATAAATTACACCATTTCCAAGAAAATCGATGATAAACGCGTCGCTGTACCGACCTACGTCATCAAAAAAATTCCAAGATGCCCGAAATGCAAACACCTCCTTTTTTTTCTCTATGGAGTTGCCATTGCGAGAGCAGGTTACTCAGTAACGGATCCACTCTATCCACTCTTTTGCATTGCACGCCTGTTTCAATCGTTTTTATCATGATGGTCCTTAAATATTAAATAAACGTACATTAAAGTGTTGTTCGGTTGAAATATCACCACCGGCTATATTTATCTAGTATTTTTTCATCAAAGATTTTTTCATTGTTACTAGTTTTTAAATTTTTCTCTCTAATTTTTTCAGTTCGCAATTTTTTGTTTTTAAATTTTTAGCTATAATTTTTTTTGTATTTAATTTTTTTCATTTTTCATAGTTTATTCTTAATGTTTTAAAACCTCTTTGCCTCTTTATTTTTAAATTTTATCTGTTGGTTTTTCATTTTTTTTTATCTGCCAATCTTCAATTTTTTTACAGTTTCATCCCTAATTATTATAACTAAGTACCTCTTTAAATATGAATTATAGTGTCCTGTGTTTTAATAGGTACTGTATTTATTTGTGACAATCTTGACCATTAGTCACATTTAATGTGTTTGTTTTCTTCAGCAAGTTACGCCTTCCGAATACTGATTATTGTTACAGAACAGCCCAGGATTTAAGTTGGCTCTCATTCAAAAAAATAAGCTTATACAGTTTGACCCTCCTCTAAACAAATTCCAAAATGTCTTTCTCAACTTATACGGCATGATGATTGAAGCTGTATGTTTGCCAGGTTTAGATACGCGCCTATTTTCTGACCTAGAAATGCAAGATTTAACCAGCAAGTTAAAGGTTAGTAGAGCCCTTACCGATAAAGTTTAGGCGCTTACGCTCTTTTAGACTGAGACAGCGGATTTGCCATCGTGCCTCTTGCATTTAATCTCCATGCGAAAATGACGTCAGACGATCTTCTGTCACAAGGCTAAAAAGGCGTAAACTTATTTTGAAAAAACTCTGAAGTATTTACGTGTGCTGGTGAAACTCTTCTTTCTTGTGGACTCTAGAGATTTATGGCACATGCGGCTATTAATACTCAAAATTCTCAAAAACTAGGTTCTATTCCAAAAAAATTGCCAGGAAACCTTTTTTCCAGAATTTAGTAAGAAAGAAGGTGCAACTCTTTCATTAGTAAATGAATTGAGCCTCTTATACAAATGTATCATTGCTATTTTGTAGAGGAAAATAATATGAAGTGGCAAATGGAGATTCCATTCTGCATGATCAGTTTTGAGAAACATGGTTAAAGACACCTTCCTCACGAGTACATTTTCTACCGATGTTCGGGGGTTCTATCTGCCCCTCGCGGACTTCGGCGCAGAAATATTGTCAATGAGCTGACATTAAATCGTACCAACATCTCAGACTGACACGAAGTACGAGGCCTTTGATCAACTTTCCCTGCAGGATTATCGTCAAATATATACCTTGAAATTATATTTTTGCAATTTTGGCGGTTTGGTACCGAGGGCTGCGGGAAAACGATAAAGAGGCATATCGCTCCGAAACATTACAAGGATTTAGAAAATTGTGATATTCGTAGTGCTACGACCAATTGTTCTAGTGTTTTGGCCGGTAAAGCGATTTCGGGGCACTAACACCCCCCCCCCCTTTATTCCAAACCTGTCGCACGCTATTAATGAGGACGTTTCTGCAGGGGACTCAGGGGGTAGTAAGGACCCACTGTTCGAGAAATTAGCTAATTATTACTTTTTTAGGTACGTATCTTTCATACAAGTCTTTGGCTGTTTGCATAAAAGGGAAAAATAGAGTTTTTTGTCGATTTTAAGGGGTTCGAAGTAAACATTTTAGGTTTGCAGTGTCAAAACTATCATTATTACTTGTAAGTATACTATGCAAAGTCACGATAAAAAATAATGCGATGCCTGTAATTGCTGCTAACTGCCTTTAAAAGTTGCGTCCAATACGCTAAAAAGGCGAATCTGAAACATTTTCGCCGCGACTAAAAACGCGTTGCGGCAGCACTAAAAATTATCCGATTTCACTCAAATTTGGGGACACTAAATTTTTAACATAATGATACAATAAAACCATCGAATATAGATGATCCGAGAAAATTTTTGGATGGTTCAAATATGGGACACCCTAATGTACAGGATGGTCCAGAAGTCCCTTCCACCCCATCTAAAACTTTACCAAATTAATATTTCGAAACGAAACTTTGGGGATGTTTATAGAACAACGTTAGCTAATTTTGGGACCCCCCAAAATTTTTGCCCCTCATGGGGTGGGGCTAAGGACCCCAACTTTTTTTCAAGGGGGCAACTCTGCCTTTGTGACACATTAATCTGAAAAGGATATAACAAGGAAAGAACATTTTTGGCCCATACCGCATGTCAAAATCTTCATTGTTGACAAAATGGCGGCTGGTTAAAGCTCAAAATAACGGAAATTTGACATTTCTGTTTTTTGTGAACGGAATTGGATGAAACTTAATATTTTGGGGTTTTTTAGGACGAGAAAAACGATTCTGGCATCAGTTTCCCGGCTAATTTTGTCCTTCCTAAATTGGCGTCAGTCAAAATTGCGACCTAAGAGAATCGGTACCTAAGAAAATATTCAGGCTGCTTATCGGTGGATTTGCATGCAACTTGATATCCGCGGGTACCTCAGTACTAGAAAAACGAATCTTGCATTGGATTTCTGAAATTCCGAATAACTTCAAAATGGCGGTGAAAAAATGGTGGGAGCTTGGTTTTACAGACGCGCACGGTTGCGTTCGTATGAAACTCGGGGTCGTGTTGGTTTCTGGTTTGACAAAAATGACTTTCTCGCATTACATCTTTGAAATGTTAAATATTTTCAAAATGGCGGCCGAGTTTCATGTGAATCTAACCGCAAGCGCCCATAATACCAAGTTTCCGCCATTTTCTCGGCGTCATTTTGAAGTTATTCGGAAGTTACCTTCGGATGTCAAGTTGCATCTTATATGCGACGGATAAATCATAAGTTAGTAAAATAAAATAGATTAAAATAAATAAATGTGATAAAATAAATTAATAGAAAACAATAAGTAAAATACTATTATTTATATATATATAGTTTTATACAGGGTGTACCAAAAGTCCGTCCCACCCCTGCTAACTTTTGAACGAATTGAGCTAGGGTAATGAAACTTTGGGAATAATCCTATCTCAAAGGGGACCATCTTTTGGGGGGGTCAAAATTTTGGTCCCCCCTCAGGGGGGGCGCGGGGGGCCCCCAACTTTTTTTTTTCAAATAGCAACCCCTCTCTTGTGATACATCATTCGAAAGAGCATAAAAAACGAAGAATTTTGTTGCTCCAAAATTTTGGGGGCCACGACCTCCCCCCCTAAAATTTTGGGGCTTTGGAGGGCCATGAGTCGAAAATTTCGAAAGGCAAGGGTATGTTTTGACTTCAGGTTTGGATTCTACGCGAAAAGTTACGTAGAATTGATATGGCGCATGGCCTGTTTGCTCCAAATTACTAAAGAACCCCATTTCCCCATAAAAAGCCGTGTATTTTTGGACAAAATAAGCGGTAAAAAAAATTTGAGCAAACAGGCCATGCGCCATATCAATTCTACGTAACTTTTCGCGTAGAATCCAAACCTGAAGTCAAAACATACCCTTGCCTTTCGACATTTTCGACTCATGGCCCTCCAAAGCCCCAAAATTTTAGGGGGGGGAGGTCGTGGCCCCCAAAATTTTGGAGCAACAGGGGTCATAGGGCACATCAATAAAAAGGTATTGACCTCTCCTCTCAGGAGATTTTTAGATTTTGAAATTTGGATGATTTGGCCGCTTACAGCGTCGAATTGAAAATTGCCCCAAAAATGCCCCATAACTCCAAGAAATGGGGGTTTAGGGAAAAAGTGCAAAGAACAAAATTTTCTTATTTTTTACCGTGGATTCCGAATCCAAAGTCAAAACATACCCTTCCCATTTGAAAATTGCGAGAAACGAGGGGGCTCCCCCCCAAAAAACCCCCCCAAGGGGCCATTCTGGGGGGCTGAAAATATTTTCATTCGATTCTTTGGGGTCGGTTTACCCTATGAAAGTTTTGGTCCCGAAGCTCAATTCTCCGCCGTTTTCGAGAAAAAGATAGTGGCCGGGTGGTCTGGATCACCCATACACACACACACACTTGGATGGGTTTAAATGAGATGTACAACCGTTACACATATAAATTTAGGTATTTATTTCGCCAACGTTTCGGAGGCCCATTGCCTCCTTCATCAGGGCATGAGTAGAGTACCTATATTGAGAGAGTATGGCCACTGGGCCCCATGGAGAGGCTTAGGACCCAAAAATGGCGGTGCTTTGTTTTGGTTTTTGTGGATGGGAGGGGGGTCATTGCCAACTTTTGACGGTTATCACCAACCGCACGTGTTGCCAACTTTACTAGATCTAAGATAATTTTTCTCAAAAATTGCACACGATTAGCCTTAAAAATATGTAAATAAGTCGCAATAGTGCATTTGGGCAAATTTCTCGTTACGATAAGCAAAGAAAACTACATTTTGAGTCCTTTTGCATTACATTAATTTATGGCGTCCGCCATTTTTGGATCCTAAGGGCTCCATTCAGCCTAAGATGGCTGAGCCAATGAGAGATGGTAACACCAGTGGCCATACTCTCTCAATATAGGTACTCTAGGCATGAGATGACACTAACATTACAAAAACAGACAACGAGGAAAAAGGTCCGCGGTAGCGGCAAACATGACGAGATAATAAGGTGCTACACCGTCTCCTCCTTTACGTAATAGTCCTCAAATTGATGGAATTCAGTTCGGGAATTAATCGCATGCTCTCCTTTAAGATGTGAAGTCCCTCTAAGTTAGACCGGACCTGGGTGTTGCTTTCTTGGCATACAATTTTTACAGAATCAAAATCAAATTCATGCCGTTCATTCCTAATGTGCTGCTTAAGAGCAGTTACCTCACATGTATTAAATTTATGGCCGTCCATTCTCTTATGGAGGTATTGGGAAGTCTGACCTATATACACACCAGGGCAATCCCTGCATTGTACGTGATAAACCACATTAGATATCTTATCTTTTGACGTTCTTGCCTTAAGAGATGAATTAAATTTTTTCAAGTTATTTTTGTTTGAATATATATATGTATATAAAACAAAGAGTGGTTCTGCTACGAGGGGTGGGTAAAAATTTCCATGGGAAACATTCCAGGATCTTCGCCCGCCCGGCAAAATTACGTTGTGGCAACGTTGCCAAAACGTTGCAATTTCGCCATTTACGTATTCGGGCAACGTTGTGGTAACGTTGCCACAACGTGTAATTTTGTCAGCTTGCATGAACGTGATTGGCAATGTGTCTGCAATGTGTTTTAGCAACATAATGGGAATGTTGCAAAAATACGTTTTAGCAACATAATGGGAATGTTGCAAAAATACGGTGAAAAAATTTCGGAGATTTATTTTAGGAGTACTCTGAATTTTTACTCCTAGAATTCAATGTGGACCGCAGAGAAGCGTTTCTTAGGCACTCGAAATTCACTCTAAGTCCAATAGTAGCCGCGCTCCGCCCGGGTTCCCAAGCGGGCTCCCATCGAAGTACTAACTACGCCCGACGTTGCTGAACTTCAGTGATCGCCCGTGTGTCGCTGCCACTCAGCTACGGACGCTCGCGTGATAGAGTTTGGTTATTTAGCATTAATAAACATCCCTAGATCTGGTTCAACGATAGAAAGCAATGATATTCTTGCATTTCTGTGCATAATTCTACAACGAAGGATACTGAACATAATATTAGGAAGATCAAGTTTTTAAAAAAAAGGAGTACGAAAAAAAATTGAAAAAGAATTGAATAAATATATTCATTTTATATAAATAAAATTATTATTATTTTAATTATTTATTTAATTATATTAGAATTTTTTTTATTATAATTATTTGGTATTTTTATTTTGTATTAAATTATTTTCTAATTATTTATATTTATTTTTTTTTATTTTATTTTTTATTTTTAAATTTTTTTTTTATTTTTTTTTAATTTTATCTTCATTTGTATATTTTTATTGTTAATTTTTTTATTTTTTGAATTATCTATCAATTAATTTTTGTTTATTTTTGTATATACATATACATATTTTTGCGACATTGTATGAGGGCGCATTCCCTTATATTGATTGGAGAAAATCATCTGTTGAGAAACAAACAGAAAGGAGAACACCTGAAACAGTGGAAAAGTGTCCCCTCCGATTTGCAGCACAGCATCTGCTTGACCTCATATCTGAGTTCTACGACCAAAATTACACAGGGATTGATACCTCACATGACACTATATGCGCATTTTAAAAAACCGAAATCCCAGAGGCCTTATTATGGCCGCCATTTTGAAATTTAGGCATTTTGGGGGGTGTTCCGGGGTCGGACCGTGGTAAACTTTTGGTATGTTGTTCAGGAGGACCTACTGATGACGTTTACATAGGAAAAGTTTGTTCAGCAATTTGTTCCGGGTCAAATCGTGTTTCTCCCTGACTAATAATGTTTAACAACGTTGTCACAATATATCTAAGAAATATTTATTGAAACGTTTTTTAATAATGTTCCAGAAACATTTCTAAAAACGTTTTGAAAATATTGTCTAAAATATAATGTCAGGCAACATTGCTGAAACATTGTTTAAACGTTGCTGCTTTACCTTTACAAAGCAATATCATCAAAAATGTTGCCTTGCGACGTTGCGGCAACGTACACATTGCTCCCTTGCCGGGCGGGCGGTTTTTTGCAAGAGATCCTGCACTATTTCCCACCTAGAATAAAAAATCTAAAATAAAATCAACCTTACAACAAACCTAGACTATATTTAAACACTAATACCTAAATTAAATGTACTGATACTGGGGAAGGTTCCATCCATGGGAGCACACGGGACTCCATATTCGCTCCCATGCATGGGAGTACGCGGGATCCCGTGTCATTCCCGTGGGAGCACGCGGGATCTCATGTCATGCCCATGGGAGCATACGAGATCACGCGTCATTCCCATGGGAGCATACGAGATCCCGTGTCATTCCCATGGGAGCATACGGGATCCCGTGTCCATTCCCATGGGAAATTTTTAGCAGGGACGGTCGGGATGACGCTGAAAATCACTGTATCGATGTTAGGCAAGCACAGAGATACACTCATTTTCGGTAGCATGACATTCTTTTGATCAACATTCCTAAAAGTCGCAATGTGTCTGTTGCGCTAGTCACAGAATCGTGTTTGCAGAACTTCGGAATATACTTAGATTATGCAGCAAAAAGTAAGGATATGCTCAAATACCAAGTTTTCACGTCCAACATTAGCCCCTTCCAGACGTTCAAACTGGCATGATAAACTAAGGTATCAGTCTAAGGGTATCGATTCGGTTATTGACCGTCGAAACTCAAAGGTGCGCCGGCTAATGACTTCTGATCAACAACCTCGAATCAACTCTCATCAAAAAGTGAGGCTCTCTGACATTTACATACTTTTTACTTTATTTTTAACAGTCACCAGCCGCTCAGGCCCATCAGCGCATCCGCTTTGACTTCATCCGCGTTTTAGGTTGAGTTTTTAAACTTGTGTATCACTAAAAGTAACGAATGCCAGCAGGAGGAACCCCCATTTAAATATTTTACCGCCATGAATGACGTCATATACCTCGTCTTTCGAGGGCGATGTCTACCTTAAAATTGGATGCAAAAACTAGGCGATTTGGTCAGATCTTATAACTTTTTGCTAATTAATAAGCGTAAACCATCAAAATGCAATTCTGTAATTAGGACGACTGACCCATTATTATGCACGTGGTTTAGACGTCAAAATACGAATCTTTAACGCGACCCTGGTAAAAATTGGCCATAGGAGCTTCGTTTCAAAATACCATTAAAATTCTTATAGCTGGCTATAGAAGGCGATAGAAAATCGTACAGCTGGCTGTAAGCGAAGAAAATCATACAGCCGATACGAAGCGATAAAAAATAATATAGCCGGGCTATTGTTCCTATCGCCGGGCTATACCTACACATTATCGTCAGGCTGTAGCTTTCATTGTCATCGGCTATAATAGGTTAAAAGAAATTGTATAGCCGGCATAAGCCATAGGATATCTTACAATCCGCTGTAGGTCTATAGTATTTTTGAACACATATCCTTCTGCCAATTTTTACCAGGGGACTCTCATTTCTGCGGTGTCAATGAACATTTTCTGAAAACTACTAAAATAATTTACATCTGCTTATTCCTATTTGAATAATAGCCAATTATTCTGGAGAAAATCGTGGACGACTATCGTTTGAGTGTCAAAATGTTTTTGAAGGAGCAATGGATCGGACCTCAATTGCGAGTTCAAGACTTTGATGAATATATCTGTTTGTTAAATGGAGAGGTAATTTTGTTACAATTTCTATAATCCTCTCTTCCCGTTGCAGATCTACACCAACTATACCTAAAAACATGACAAACCTCTGGTTGTCTGTTGAGACAAAACTTAATTGTGTTAAGTGTGAGAAATGAAGAACAAGTGGAGTTACGTTATGGACGTCATGATGTCTCTATATTCGATGTGGTGTCGCTCCGACATCTGCCTCGGCGGCTGGGCTCACAAGCAGCGTTGCCAGGTTCTGACCCTGACAACTCCTTTCTTTTGAAAGGGCCAAAAAAAAATTTAAAAAAAAGTTACAAAAACAGATTTTTCTTTGGCAACAGCCTCGCCCTTAAATTTATGCATTCATAAAATATAATAAGATCATAGGTTAAGACCATTTCTGTTTCTGTTGTATGTAAATGATCTAAAGGAAGTAGTGAAGGTATTTAAGGTTAGCTTATTTGCAGATGATACACTAGTACCTAATTGTGAAGGGGAAGAGAAGGTAGGAATTGATAAAAATTAATAGAGGTCTAGAGAGATCAGGAGTGTGGCTAAAAGAAAATTGGTTAATATTAAATATATCAAAAACGAAATATACAGGGTTATCCAAAAGTCACCTACCACCCCTGTAACTTTTTTCCTGATTGAAATAGAATTTTGAAACTTTGGGAATGTTCCTCGGTTTAAGGTAGCAACTTTTTGGTCGGCGGCCCCCCTAACGGGGACGGGGGCTAGCTTTTTTTCCAAATGGCAACCCCCCTTTTGTGATACCTCATTCGAAAGATAATAAAATATAAAATTTTTGGCGCAAACCGCAGGTCAAAATCTTGATTTTTGACAGAATGGCGGCCGGTCAAAGTTCAAAATGGCGGAAATTCGGCATCTCCGTTTTTAATCGGCGGATTGGTCTGAAACTCTGAATCCTATGGTTTTTCGGGACGAGATAAACGATTCTGGCATTGGTTTTCCAGAAATGTCAGTCCTTTTCAAAATGGCGGCAGATTAAAATGGCGGCTTAGAGCGGGAAGTGGATATTTAGGCTGCTTATCGTCGGATTTGTATGAGACTTGGTATCCGGGGGTATTTTGGCACGAGCAGAACGAATCTTTCATTGGATTTTTGAAATTTTTAAAAACTTTAAAATGGCAGCAAAAACGCGAACGGCGATGGTGGATGCGGATTTTCCGTTATTTTTCCGCCGCCATTTTGACGATATTCAGTGTTTCAAAAATCTAATGAAGGATTCATTTTTATTGAGCCAAAAACCATCAGAGTATTGACTTTTGTGCAAATCCATCAGTAAACAGCCGTGATATGGATTTTCCGTCATTTTTTCGCCGTCATTTTAAAGTTTTTAAAAATTTCAAAAATCCAATGAAAGATTCGTTCTTCTCGTGCCGAAATACCCCCGGATACCAAGTCTCATACAAATCCGCCCCCCCCCCAACCCTAACTCACCGTTGAGTGCTGAGCCAACTCCGCTGACGTTATTAAGCGGTCATTGACCAGTGACAATACCTACGTATCAATACGTATCATTAATTCCAACTTTCTAACCAAAGCTTTATCTTATAGCCCTTTCATAGGCATTTTTGACCGTCTGTTGTTTCAGTCACAAGAAGAAATCAAGAAGTTTCTGTCCGAAGATCACTCTTTTGAAGAATACAAAGTACAAGTTGCCAAGTTTCACAATCTGATTTACGAGATTCCAATTAACATGGCGCATGTTGTCCGTGTTGGTGTTTTTGAAATGCATCGTAAGGATCTAATCAAAGCCATGACCGAGTCCTCTTGTGCAATAAAGAGTCAACTTACATCAAAATTGATCAGTGATTATCAGTTAGTCTGCAAGCAGTGAGTTTGGTCATTTTACGTAATACCTAAGCATACAATTTCCAAGGAAGTTTGAATTTGAGTAACTAAACGGGGTGTCCTAAAAGTTCGTGGTGGTCCTTTAAAGTTGTATATTTAATTCATACTTTAAAAGAAAACTTTGGGTAGGTATGTTCATGAATCTATGTAAGCGACTTTTGGGACCCTCCAAAATTTTCGGCGGTCCCCACGGGAGCAAGGGGGGGGGGGCTGCAGACCGTAACTTTTTTCTTTCAAATGGTAATCCTCCCTTGTGATAATTTAATCGAAAGAGTATAAAAAAGAACATTTTTCGCGCAAACCGCAAGTCATCATTTTGATATTTGACAAAATAGCGGCCGGTCAAAGTTTAAAATAAACAAAATCCATTCCTCAAGACTCGGGTGAAACTTGGTTATCAGGATTTTTTGACACGATAAAACGGAGAGTGCCAGCTTCGCTTGTCACAAAATCGTATTTTGATGCTTGATTCTTTTAGATTAGTTAAAAATAATAAGATCTGTCCAAACCGCAACTTTCTACGTTCAATATTAACCGAGATATCGCCCTTTGAATAGTCGGGTTTTCTTCGGTTGGTACGATGCAACAACGGGCGGAACGCAAAACTTCAACGACATTTAACACAAACAACCTGTGATGAACTGACTGACCGCTCTCCGCCAAATTGTTCCTGCAAGTATTCTTGTATGCCCTCGATCTCGTAAGCTCTGATCGGGAACGAAATTCCCGAGTAATTCTTGTCGCGGCCCCCAGAGTAGAAAAGCATTCTGTTCGTTTTTTTGATGGTCGGGATGGAATAATAGGTTACAAAACCCATGAGATCGATCTCGCAGGGTCTGAACGACTCGAGAGGTCTAGTTAGCGCAAATATAATTTTGTTTGTCTCTATATTTTTTTTTCAAATACTATATATTCCTGGTTGGTAGGAGCCATTCTAAATATCGTTTTCCGTAGGGATGTCGATACTTATCCGATACTTGCAGAGTATCGATACTTTCGATCGATACTTAACGATACTCGGCATCGATACTCCACGATATCGATACCATGCAGTATCGATGCCAAGACCCCAGTATCGACGGTATCGATACTTAATCTGATTTGGCCATGAAGAAGGCCTCTTTTTCTTTTTTAAAAAATTCTCTCCCCACTATTTCACCTTCAAGATGCACTGTGACAAACGACGGAGTAATCAAGTTTCTCAAAATGATTATACTTCATTAAAAATGTTAAAAGCTCAGTTCGATAAGTGTAGTTAAAGGCTCAAAATAGCTGACTAAGGACGCGAACAGGGCTTTTTCGAGAGAGGCGTAAATCTGGCGGAATTTAACGGCCGACAGACATACGCACACTCAGACACGGCATAATTCAGAAATAGTATCGATACCTCATAAGTATCGATACTTCAGCTCGATGCTCGATACCGGTATCGATGCTTAGAGTCGATACCAGTATCGATACCGAGTATCGATACTTCCCTGAGTATCGACATCCCTAGTTTTCCGCAGACACTCGAGTTGAAATTTTGTTCGCTATCATAATTGTATCTTGTTGTCGTCATCAGGCTACCGCGTGAGCGTAAAATGTATCACGGAATTTCAGCGGGTGGTGTTAATTATGGTCCTGGCAAACTAGCTTTTTACCTCGGACAAATTAGCACAAACTTTTTCTTTTGTATATAGGGTAGTATAGGGGTAGTATCCATCTAAGGTGCTTCTCTTTTTACTATGTACCATGACTATCAAATTAACAATAACATTTTTTTCACAAAGAGTCGAATATTCGTGAAACAGGGTCACACTAATCAAAATCCCAGCCAAAATAAACAAAAAATCAAAAATGTCAAATTTGACACCATTCCATTAAGATCCAGTATAGGTATTATACCTTCAGTTAAATTTTGATGTAAAATGTGTTTTGTAAAGAAAATTTCTCGCTCTTTCGATTGGTGCCAGCAGTTTTGAGAGAAAAATTCTGCCAAAGCTGTATCTTTAAAGTTACAAACCAAACTTAAAATTTCAGGAAAATTCTAGGCTTTTTTTTCGGTGCCTGTCCTCGTAGCTCGGCACCAACAAGTCAACATTAAAAAAAAACTACTATATACAGTTGAAAGGAGAATTTTATATTCTAAGGAATGGATAAGAATGATTTTTTTCACGGAATGTACCAGAATCACGCAAAATCAGGAAAACTATGACGAAACCTGGTAAAAATGGCAAGTGTTAGGTCAGTGAATTTTCCATTGAGGTCAGTGCAATTTGCTCTAAGGTCAGTTCAGTTTTCTCTGACGTAAGTGTTGAAGCACTTACCCAAGAAGTCAGCACTGAGGTAAGAGGCACTGACTTTGGGAGAAAGACTTACCTAAGTGCAGAGATATCTCTGAGGTAAGCGGGACTGAGGTCAGAACTTGGTTCAGAGGGTAAGACTCTGACCTCAGTCTTAATCGAACCGCACTCACTCCTAAAAAGTAGAGATGGCTCCCACTTCCCCTACCCTATTTCATTTTCGGGGGGGATTATTTCCTCGGAATACGAGGACCACAAACTTTATCTTACAGAGAGGCATTTTTTTTAGGAGGGGGGATTTTCTAAGAGGGAAGGAAAACTTGTTTAGGTAGCCACACTCTTGAATAATTTGTATTACCTTCTTCTTTATGATGTCACTTAAATAATTAAAACACACAAAAAATGAGATCGGTAAAAATATTATCACCGCTATAATATGTATTTACATGCATTTATTTAAGCATTTTTATTTTTTTGACTTAAGAGCTTTTTTTTAAAAAAAAATTGTTTTAAATTTGGTTTTAATTTTTTCCGGTTTTAACTCTTTTTAGAATGTTTCAGTCTTAATTTTTTTTTCAAATTTTCCTAATTTATTTTCAATTCTTTTCCAATTTTTTTACTCCGTACTTTCAATTTTTGTATCTGCTAATTTATATTTTTTGTATCATTTCAACTTTAATTATTTTTTTTACATCCTTACCTATAATTTTGAATTTTAATGCGTTCCATTTTTTTTTCTAATAAACATAACTTATAAAACTTCATTTACATGTTGATTGATTAAAAAAGAATTTAAAAAAATTAAGTAGCGGATTCAAATTCGAAGACAAAATCATCATTTGCTGGCAAAATTACTCCAATGGGGGCCCTGAAATGGCATAATTATGCCCCTTACTTTTATACGCGCCGGCAGTGTAGCGGTTCAGTCGCTAGGTCGATCACCGAAGTCGAGCTACGTCGGGCGTAGTACTTAGATTGGAGACCGCATGAGAACGAGCGTTGTCCCCTGAAGATTTTGATAATTACTTGTGATTGAAAACTCACAGTAGCCCTCCCTGGTCGTCAAATAATGAATTAAAGTACCTGGCAAATCGGTAATTAACTAAAATGCGTCTAGGTACAGTATTTCTGGGAGTTAGTCCAGGCGCCTGGTAGCTAAAAATGAGGTTACCGAGTACACAGCGATTTTTTTGGCTTACCCTACGTTTTTGGGGTCGCTGAATCCGAATCTGAAGTTTCCTACCGCGTATCTGGTGAGGATTTTCCGCCATTTTGAAAAAATTGCCTAAAAAGGTCTTTTTGCGGTATTTTTTATATAGCGGCTACGCATGAGAAAAAGTCCCGGATTTAGTTAATGTTTTGAAAAGTTGACATAATTTGGAAGAAAATGGTGTATACATATGCTAGGTTTGCCTAAAAATTGAGGAAGATACAGCATCGTGAACATCGCGCCCATTCACGTTTTCGCGGCGCACCCGTCAACGTGCGATCCGGCTCGCCGCGGTCACAAGTTCCAGAGCGTTCCAAAGTTCCGAGATCCGAGGTTCCTCAATTTTTGAGCAAACCTAGCATATTTATATACCATTTTCTTCCAAATTATGTCAGCTATTCGAAACATTAACTAAATCCGGGACTCTTTCTCAGGCGTACCCGCTATATCAAAAAAACCGCAAAAAAGGCCTTTTTAGGCCATTTTTTCATAATAGCGGAAAATGCTCACCAGATACGCGGTAGGAAACTTCAGATTCGGATTCAGCGACCCCAAAAACGTAGGTCAAGCCAAAAAAAACGCTGTGTACCCAAAATTCCAGGTAGACTTACCAGGCACCTGGACTAAGTTTCCACTCCGCTTACGTCGGAGACACTTCGGTCAGTGCCACCTACATCAGAGGCACTTGCCATTGGAACAGACCTAACACTGACCTAGCAGATCAGCGCCCGGCAGAACTGTGATACCAGTGTTTAGGTCTGTTCCAAAGGCAAGTGCTACTGATCTGAGCACTTGCCATTTTTACCAGGGAAGTCAACAAATAATTTATACCTGCGTATAATTTCAGACGACTGCCATTTTTTTTCAAGCAATTCTGACTGTGTTCCTGAGGAGGGCTAATGGTAAAATTTTTTAGGGACTCTAGACATGTTTCAGAGTGATTTAAAACACAAGAGAAGTTTGTGCTAATTTGTCCGAGGTTAGGTCCTTTTCTGGCTAGTTTGCCTGGACTAGTCGAACACCGAAGCTGTTGTAGTACAATGCATTACCGCTCCCTAAAATTCGGTAGGTACGCTGGCCCATGTGTACTCGGTCCATCGCTTCGGTCCAGGTTGTCGATTCCTTATTCGGGACGTTTGGGTTTCTTAGTGGCCAATTCATTGCTCCTGAACACACCGCGGAAATAAGGGACATGTAATTGTTCTGTTGCAACGATTCTCAACTCAACGGCTGTCATAGCTCATTCCGGTAGCTCAGGGATCAGTTTAAATTCTTTCGGGAAGGTCTCAAGTATCGTCCGTAACCTCTACGGTACGGTCGCAAGTACAATCCTTCACCGAGGTGGATATTCTTCCTCAACGATCCGTTACCCTGGTAAAAAATGGCAAGTGCTCAGATCAGTAGCACTTGCCTTTGGAACAGACCTAAACACTGATGTCAGTGCTGCCGGGCACTGATCTGCTACCTCAGTGTTAGGTCTGTTCCAAAGGAAAGTGCCTATGATGTAAGTGACATTGACCTAAGTGTCTCCCACGTAAGCGGAGTGGAAACTCCCAGAAATACTGTAGAGGCAAAAATTTAGTTAATTACCGATCTGCCACGTACATTAATTCTCATGCGTAGCCGCTTTATAAAAAATACCGCAAAAAGACCTTTTTAGGCAATTTTTTCAAAATGGCGGAAAATCCTCACCAGATACGCGGTAGGAAACTTCAGATTCGGATTCAGCGGCCCCAAAAACGTAGGGTAAGCCAAAAAAATCGCTGTGTACTCGGTAACCTCATTTTTAGCTACCAGGCGCCTGGACTAACTCCCAGAAATACTGTACCTAGACGCATTTTAGTTAATTACCGATTTGCCAGGTACTTTAATTCATTATTTGACGACCAGGGAGGGCTACTGTGAGTTTTCAATCACAAGTAATTATCAAAATCTTCAGGGGACAACGCTCGTTCTCATGCGGTCTCCAATCTAAGTACTACGCCCGACGTAGCTCGACTTCGGTGATCGACCTAGCGACTGAACCGCTACACTGCCGGCGCGTATAAAAGTAAGGGGCATAATTATGCCATTTCAGGGCCCCCATTGGAGTAATTTTGCCAGCAAATGATGATTTTGTCTTCGAATTTGAATCCGCTACTTAATTTTTTTAAATTCTTTTTTAATCAATCAACATGTAAATGAAGTTTTATAAGCTATGTTTATTAGAAAAAAAAATGGAACGCATTAAAATTCAAAATTATAGGTAAGGATGTAAAAAAAATAATTAAAGTTGAAATGATACAAAAAATATAAATTAGCAGATACAAAAATTGAAAGTACGGAGTAAAAAAATTGGAAAAGAATTGAAAATAAATTAGGAAAATTTGAAAAAAAAATTAAGACTGAAACATTCTAAAAAGAGTTAAAACCGGAAAAAATTAAAACCAAATTTAAAACAATTTTTTTTAAAAAAAAGCTCTTAAGTCAAAAAAATAAAAATGCTTAAATAAATGCATGTAAATACATATTATAGCGGTGATAATATTTTTACCGATCTCATTTTTGGTGTGTTTTAATTATTTAAGTGCCATCATGAACGAAGAAGGTTAAACAAATTAGGTATTTAAGAGGGTATCCCGCCCGGCAAGCCGGCAATGTTGACGTTTTGGCAATGTTTCATGGAAATGTTTCACGCAACATTTCACAGTAATATTTTTCAGCAATGTGTTGATAATGTATTTGCAACGTTGTCTTATAACATTTTCTGACAATGTTTTAAAAATAATTACAAGAAACATTACAAAAACCTTGCAACGCAACATACTTGAGTAATATTTCATGATAATGTTACGATAATATTTAACGCAATATTATTAAAACGTGAATAAGTAATGTTATTATCATATTCATAAAAAACACTGCAGAAATATAATACAATAATTTTTCAAAAACATATTTTAATTTAAAATTGTAACAATGTTTATTAAATATGTTTCCAAATAATATTATAAATTAACATTTCAGTAATGTGTAAGAACTTTATTACGTAAACGTTTCCAAGTGTCACAGCACGCGTCCATAAAAAGTTACTCGCTGTGGAACGTAGATTTTCTT